AAACTAAAGAACTGTTCGTTTTGAGACACATATCAGCACAAACAAATAGAACATTTGTGTCTGCATTTTAATTACATGGGTGCAAAGTGGGTGGAAATTGATAAACTATAATGTGCAATACTTCTTAAACCAAACCGGCACAAACATTCAGTTTTTGTGACATAAATCAGCACAAATGAATCATATGTTCGTTTTAAAGATTTTATAACATGGGGTGCAACATAGGCAGGGCTTCATCAAATTAGCAGAAATGTTTATTTTATAAAATAAACACAAATGCTGCAGAAATAAAATGTCATATACCGTTAATTTGTCCTGCATTTGTGCTGAATTGTGCTGTAAAAATGAATATATGTGACATTTTTTACACATTTTGTAACATGGGGTGCAAATTGAGTGGGGTTAGATTAAATATAATATGCAACAAACAAGCTGGCTCCAACAATTATTATTTGTGACTCATAACAGCACAAATGCAACACAAATGAATAGAGTATTTGTTTTTAAAATGCAATAACATGGTGTGCAAATAAGCAGGATAAAAAAATAAATAATGTGCAATATCTAAAATACCAAACCTGAACAAATGTTCATTTTTGCAGACAATCACAAACACAGCAAAAAGTAACAGTGCATTAGCTTTTAAAAGTTTATAATGTTGGGTGCAAAGTGTGCAGAAATTAATAAAGTATAGAACTTCAATATCTCTGAAACCAAACCAACTCAAACATGAATTATTGCAGCACAAATTGGCACAAATGCACCACAATGCTGGTTTGAAAAAGTTCCCTAACTCCGTTTTAGTCACACCTTTGCATTTTAGCTGCAGTTTTGCCATTCAGAAATGAATGAGTCAACGCCTGTAAACACCTTATTAATTAGAGGTTCTTTATTATTAAGCATAGATTTGTTTTATAGAAAAAACCTTTTGTAATGCACGTAAATTCGTAGAAGCCAGCAGTTAACTTATTATTACTGCTATCTACCAGTTAATTGCTGTTATTAGTATCAATACAGAGAACAGACTAGTCTCTGTGGATACCTTAATGGATCAGAGCATTTGGATCACTATTCAGCATCTGAAAATGATTTTTAAGAATCCAAGAGTCATTAGTACTATACACCAAATAAAAATTGTGAAAACCTGGAAATGCATTCGCAAAATTCAAGTTTTCCACAACAGTTTGTACGGTGCATGACAGTTAATGCTCTTGCAGTAATAGGACTATTTACTTTATTCACACCATATCAACATATCACATATAATTTTTATTTATTTTTTTAACTTAATATTGTATCTAAATACACCAAGGTTACAAAATAAAATATCTTAATCAGTATTTCCTTTGAAATGCTGTGGTCCTACTACAGGTGGTATGTGAAATCTAAACATCATAATGATCATGATTGTTGTAATTAAAGGAACACTTGCAGCACCATGGCAACTTCATCTCAATGAAGCTGTGATGGTGCCAGAAGGTTATAGTCCTCTCTGACCCCATTGATTGTTGACTGCCCTCTGACTGCTGACATTTTTTTAAAGGTAATCCAAAAATATTGAAACATTTGTAAAGCTTAAACACATTTAGGCCATAACTCTTTGGTGTCTGGTGATGTTTAAGGTCAGTATTTGTTTTCTATTATTAGCCAAATTTACTCAATAAGTATAATGCAAAATAGTAGATTTGTGTAACAGGCTCTTAAAAAAGTGAACAAAATAATATTATATTCATGAGCTGCTACCACCTTTTAACCCCTTCAGCCCAGCGAGAGGGGGGCCCTGAGGGTTGGGGGGCCCTAATAACTCTATAGTGCCAGGAAAACAAGCTTGTTTTCCAGGCACTATAGTGCTCCATTAATTAATTTAAGTATGTTCAGCCAATAATATTTGATTTCGGGACACAAATAGAAGATATGGAACAATGTACCATTGTGACCACAGTTTCAACATTTATTGTTTTCACTTAGGTTTAATTTAAAAAGTTTGGAAGGGGTCTATACTCTATAAATTAATTTGTAGTGGGATTCCAAATGATTTGTGCATTGAGTGATACCTTTTAATGATGATAATAAATTATTCCACTCCTCTACTGTGCATACCTCACCCAGCTCAGTCTCCCATCTCATCATGTAATCATACCATTTATCATACATGTCACCTGCAAAAATATTATAACACATGGAGATGCTTTGTTTCCGACAAGAGTCCGTTAAATAAATTTTTTCTAGTTTAGACATATCTAATTTCAACAAGGTTGGATCCTGATCGGAAAGAGCGAAATGTACACTAATTGTTGTCACAAGTTTTTCATGTGTTTGGGCATCTATTAAACTCAGTTTATATTTTTCTTTTAATTGATCTAAAGGCAGAAGGCTCTTGGAAGAAAATAAATCATCAATATGGACAATCGAATAGGAGGCCCAGTAATCTACAACCAATTCAGGTGAAGCATAACGTACTGCTAATAATGGTGTGGCCCTAAACCATATGGCATGCAGTCGAATTTTCTTGAATAAAAGTATCCACATCTTAAGGGTTTATTTAGTGGAGGGAAATAAGTCTGTCTCCTTAGGACATTGAGATGAAGGCAACCATAATAAATCTTTAATAAAGTGCGGTAAAATTCAATTTGCCTCCATCGCAAGCTATTGGGGTGCGGCGTTATCTAAGTTAAATTAAAAAGCTATAGCTGTGTGACGAGACCAATCTCGCCACATTGCATTGGAGAAGCCTGGTTGCTCGCCTGTTGCCTTTGGATTATGGCCCCATGTTAAAAGGCTTGATTTTTCCCTGCAAAGACATGAAAGCCGGGTCATTTGGTGCTTGCCCTGTTTGAGCGGTGATACCCCAGATAGCTATGCCATGGAGCCCATTCATATAATGAAAGACTATGGGAAAGACTTTGGCTCCATGGCAATTGAACTGTATGTGTGTGCTCTGAGCGCCATTCAGTAATAATGTGCGCTCAGATCTGAGCTATCTGGGGATATGTTGAATGTACCTGTTTTGTGCAATGGCTGCACAGTTATGTTTTTATGTGTTTTATTGTCTTTTGCTGCCATGTGTTCAATGGAGTTTTGCTTCTGTCTTTGGAGATAATTGGATTACTTCTAATTATCTCCAGGATAGAAGACTCTGTGGAACTGGTTTTGGGCAGAAAAGCCATGCGAATGTGATGCATACTTTTCAAGTTATGAATAATGTGGAAAAATTGTATTTGTCTGCTTGTTATAATTATATTACCCATTGTGTAAGGTAATTGTATCACAGGCAGAGGGGAGGATTTTGTGTGGGAGTGTCTGAGTGTATTGTATGTGTTTATTGGTTGTGTTCCAAAACCCTGTGGGTGGTACTAATGTTTAAGAATGTGTACATAAGCACAATAAACCCACAGCTTTGTCTGTTCACTACTTGACCCTCAACACAGAGCTTTGTCTCGTTCTTGGGGGGATTTATTGTATGCTGTTCCAGTTTGACTGCTAGGAGTGTAAACCTATTCGTATGGTTTTTCCTTTTCGGCTGTCTACAGCATTCGTATGGTTTCCTGTTCGGCGAATTGGTGTTCTGCAGTAGCTGTGCCTGTGTCTCTGGAAGGGGAAGATCTCCTAAATGGCAGTTTAACCCTTTTATGCCTGGGGGTGCCGTTACAAGCTGCATTAGTCATATAATAATAGTAAGTAAAATCTGGCAAACCAATACTCCCACCAACTCTTGGTTTTTGCAATGTGGATAATGGAATCCTTTCAGGTTTTTTGTTCCAAATAAATGAAACAAGGGCAGAGTGGATTTTCCTAAAAAATTATAGAGGTATAGTGAGGGGAATAAGTATATATGTTAAGGCGGAGCCTGTAGTTGTGAGAGGTCTTGACCGGCTATTTAAACTCTAACCAACCTCCTATCTTGGCTGAGATCGAGTCAGACTCCATTGGCGTCCACTTCCGGTTCGGGTCAGTCAGCATCTCCAGTAGCAACAAGGATCCCAACAACTCCCAGGCAACACCAGCACCGAAGTTGAAGGGCTTCTTTCCCAGAGAACTAAAAAGTTCTGACGGTACTTCCGGGTTCCTGGGTACACAGTCTGCCAACGGACGGATATGAGAAAAAAAAAACTATCACTCCTACACAATCTCTAAACACAAACACACACTCTAGTGCTGAATACAAGGCAACTCTACAGACTCTTTCGCATATCTGTGTGTTCACCCAAAACTCACTCAGTTTTTCAACATACATGTATTTTCAGCTAGGCAACACCTTACATAGGATCACAACTCCTTTGAATACCTAACAGGTAAGTGTGAGAAATTTCCCATTAAAATTTTTCTCGGTATTTCGGCTCGTATACTCACCCTGATTATTGCCTAGGTCGCCTGGGACCACTCATAGTTCACAAATCTTGATCCCGTATCCACCGGTCAAGTTACGTCCAGGTAATACTTTCCCCATTTGGCCACACTCAAGTACGGCAAGCCAGAAGCATTAATTTTTCCTCATCTTAGGTCTCCACCCCAATCCCAGGAAACTCGTGCTCAGTAGCAAGTCCTACGTGGAACAAGTCCTACGTAGAACATTAATTACGTTCCATAGGTCAAAGCATTCAGCCAAATTCGCTAACCGCACATAAAAAGTATTTGCCTTCATTTCCCCTCCATTTTCTCCCACCAGGAAGCACACCTGTCAGTCCACGCACAGACCAACAGGTTATTAGGCCAGCACAACGGCTCCATTTTAACCACACACCTAACGCACGCTAATACACAGTGCATAGATCCATCAAACTCACCACCGGGGCACGACATCACCTAAATCGTTCCATAAATTCACTTTACGTGTCACAAAGTTACGCTTAGTTCAGTCCTAACAGGCGGATACCGCTCCACCCACCGGCATCACAGGTAAAACGTACAATAGACACTTATGAGCACCCGACCATAACCTAATCCACTTAATAGTACTCTTCCCCCTAAAGTATCAATCACTTCTAACCTCATTTCATAGAATGTCACACGCTACGGATATAGCTGAGGATGTCTCCCTACCCAGCACCCCAGCCAGAATCGCAAGCCCATCCAGACCAAGTACCCCTGTCGAGAACTTAGAGACTGCAAGTCCAGGGTCTCTACGCTCCTGGACCATACTCAAGATAGCGGCCAAACTCAGGAGACGTGGCATACCATACCCAGAAACAGCTCGTAAAGCGGAACTATGCCGCCTCCTGAATGCCAACCCTGACACCCCAAGACCAGGCACCAGCACACAGGCAACCGATGAAAGCACGCCTGGAATCCAGGCCACAATGTCTGCACTTCTTTCTTCAGTTAACCTCATCAATGAGAGACTGGAGAAACTTGAAAACCAAGTGGCCATAATGACCCCAGCAGCTATCCTTCCCACTTTACCCCAAAAATTACCTTATGCAGGTAACATCAGTAGTACTAACCCTGCACCTACACCTTCACATATCATCACTCCTGCCCACTTAGTACCCCAACCTATTAAGAAAGACCTTTTAGAAGGGAAAGATGTCAACCTGGTATCCCTCCTCATAGCGTCCCAAGACTTGGTAGAAAACAAGGCTTACTGCTACGGGGAGGTTTCGGTTGTACTCAAGGCTAGGGACCCCAGACTCAACAAGAAGCTATCCATCCCTGACTTCGTGATAGCATTTGGCCTGTTCAGGGACGTCATATGTTCCATCTTCCCTCAACGCAGAGAGGAGCTGGATCTTTACCTCCACAAATTGGTCGACGTAGGTAACAAGTACGGATTATCATAGGTCATTTTCGGCAAAGGCGGCGGCAGCACTGGTTCAGTTTAACATATGCTCAGACTGGAGCCAACTAGATACTGAACTGTTCTGCCGCCACTTCGCCGGCCTCAAGCCTCCGTCTTGTGCCATTTGTGCATCAACTGCACATTCCACCAATTTGTGCCCCTCCGAACTGAGCCAAACCTCCACTAGCTATGCAGAGGCCGTCCCCAGCAAATCAGAAAGGGTACTAAAAAACAAACTGGGCAGACCCATTGTCTTCTTAGGCAAAACACAGATATGCAACAACTTCAATGTGGGAGATTGTAGCTTCCGTGCTTGTCGTTTGTTGCATGTCTGTTCCCTCTGCTTTAGGGCACATGCAAAGTCCATGTGCCCTAACCGGCTTTTCCCAAGACACTGATTCACCGAAGTTAACATTAGCAATCTCACCTATTATCTCGCCAACCACCCCTCCCCTCACTTGGTCGAGTTCCTCACCATGGGTTTCACTGAAGGATTTCACACCAAGCTAGTGGTACAACCGGGGGGGCAATCTAGAATGCAGGAACCTTCAGTCAGCCATCCTAGACACCCACAACACCAACACACTGCTCACAGCAGAAGTCAACAACGGGTTTATGATAGGCCCTTTCACACAATCCCCCTATGCCAGTTTCAGAACCAACCCAATTGGCATTGCAACTGGGAAATTTAACAATAAAAAACACATGATCATTGACTTGTATGCACCTCATTCATCAGTGGTTCCTAGCATTATTTCTCTAATACCATCCAGCGAGTTTTCGCTGCAGTATGCCACAGTGGACAACACCATGGGAGCAATTTTGAAAGCAGGACGTGGTAAGGAAAAACCGACATCGCTAATGCTTTCAAGTTGCTACCCATACATCCGTCTTTGTGGCATCTGCACGGGGTCAAATGGAAGGGCCATTACTACTTTGCAACACGTCTGACGTTTGGGGCCAAAAGCAGTCCCAAACTGTTCGACACATTCGCCGAAACACTGTGCTGGCTCCTACTAAACGTGTGTGGCTGCCCAGTGGCAATACACTACCTGGATGACTTCCTCACGCTTGAGGAACCTAACTGTATTCCCCACAGCATTGACAAAACTGCTGCTTCTCTACACTAGGAGTCCCCCTATCAAAGGACAAAACAATAGGTCCTTCTACAGCCCTAACCTTTTTAGGTATACGTCTACACTCCACATCTATGATAGCTAGCCTACCTGAAGAGAAAGTTAACCGCATCACAAATGAAATCACATGGTTCACGCACAATAACAATTGCTCCCAAAGAGTTGCAATCTCTCCTCGGCTCTCTAAACTTCGCGATCCGCATAATACCACAAGGCCATGCATTCGTTTCACGCTTACTACACCTCCTAACAGAGGCCCCTCACGACAATTTGCCCATTCGGATCAACGATAACGCCAAGGCAAACTTACTTACTGGAACGGGAGGTCAATGTTCAGACCCCCTCTGGATGAGGAATCCCCAGTCATACACACCGATGCAGCAGCCCACACAGGGTTCACAGCCATATACCAAAACCAATGGCTCCACCACTCATGGCCATCAGAAACCTCAACATTACAGGCCTTTAACACTACATCCTCGCTATTCAAACTTTATCCGATAGTCGCAGCAGCACACACTTGGGGCTCATTGTGGAAGGGAAAAGCAGTTAAATGCCTTTTGGACAACAAAGACACATGTGAGATCATAAACAAAAGCAGGTCTTCTTCCCTAGTTATTATGAGGCTCATGCCGAGACTCACCTGGCTGGCAGCCACACACAATTTTCACTTGGTTTGCATACACATCCCTGGTAGGGAAAATATTGCTGCTGACGCGCTCTCTCTCGCTCCAACTTTCAGACCTTTTCCAAACATCACCCCACGGCAGCCAACCAACCCGAGCTGACCCCAACATTTTAGGACCTGATATTGGACTAACGCTACTAAAACGACATGCACTAACCCTGGTGAAATCCGCGCTGTCAGACAACACCAGAAAGGCCTACGACAGAGCTCTTGTTATATTCTCCAGATTCACCACCGAATCGACACAATAATAGCTTTCACCGCTCACTGTCACTCACACCTCGAGCTGGCACATAACACTATCAAATTGTACCTCATGGGCATACAACATCACTTGTTCACCTTCTTTCCTTATCACAAACTGTTCATGTCAAAGTACCTTCTGAAAAACGTCCTTAGTGGCATACTCCGCACAGACGGCCCACCAACTACTAAAAGACAACCCACCCTGTTACAAATTCAAGGGTCTATCAGATTTGTTAGACTCCAGCTCATTCGAAACCCAGTACTAATCACGTACTCAAAGCAGCCATGTACATCTCTTTTTACAGGTTCTTAAGGCCCAAAGAATTCATGGTGAATAGACTATCCAGTGACACTGGTTACATCAGACTAAATGATATACACAAAGTAGGGGACCACTATGTTCTACTCCTAAGAAAGTCCAAGACGAATCAGATGGGCCCTCCGACGGAGATCCCGTACTTTCCGACCCATAATAAGTGTCCGGTGTCAGTACTGGATACTTTTTGCCTCTCACTCAAAGACCAACAAAACTATGTACCCTTACTCACTATTTCCAACAAACCACTGACTACAGCTAAATTCATACACTACATAAGAACCCTGGTGGTCAGACTAGGCCACGACCCCATGTCCATATCAGGGCACTCATTTAGGATCAGCGCCGCTTCAGCCGCATCCAGCAAAAATGTCCCCGTACACATCATCAAAAAATTAGGCAGATGGAAATCAGCAGCCTACGGTAAATACATTCATCAGCCAGAGAAAGAACTCAGGAAAGCTTTCAAAGAACTACTCATGTTAAAATTGTAAGCATTAAAGTGTTCTGCTCATATACCTTTTTGCCCTCATTATTTCAGGCCTACCCGGTCGTCACTTTAGGCACACCACAACCGACTTGCGTTCATAACACACCAATTCACATACGGCTTAATGTCCCCGACTACAAATGTTAAGGTGGAGCCTGTAGTTGTGGGAGGGGTTGACCAGCTATTTAAAGTCTAACCAACCTCCTATCATGGCCGAGATCGAGTCAGACTCCCCACCCACCAACACCCCTTAGCTAATACTCCTTAGGTGGTCCCTCATTATTTCACGCCTACCCGGTCGTCGGTTTTGGGCACACCACAACCGACTTGCGTTCATAAAGGTAGGCAGACAATGTAATAGAGCAGCAGGAAATGCTAGAAGAATGCTTGGTTGTATAGGGAGAGGTATTAGCAGTAGAAAGAGGGATGTGCTCATGCCATTGTACAGAACACTGGTGAGACCTCACTTGGAGTATTGTACACAGTACTGGAGACCGTATCTTCAGAAGGATATTGATACCTTAGAGAGGGTTCAGAGAAGGGCTACTAAACTGGTTCATGGATTGCGGGATAAAACTTACCAGGAAAGGTTAAAGGATCTTAACATGTATAGCTTGGAGGAAAGACGAGACAGGGGGGATATGATAGAAACATTTAAATATATAAAGGGAATCAACACAGTAAAGGAGGAGACTATATTTAAAAGAAGAAAAACTACCACAACAAGAGGACATAGTCTTAAATTAGAGGGACAAAGGTTTAAAAATAATATCAGGAAGTATTACTTTACTGAGAGGGTAGTGGATGCATGGAATAGCCTTCCAGCTGAAGTGGTAGAGGTTAACACAGTAAAGGAGTTTAAGCATGCGTGGGATAGGCATAAGGCTATCCTAACTATAAGATAAGACTAGGGAGTAATGAAAGTATTTAGAAAATTGGGCAGACTAGATGGGCCGAATGGAAGGAGAGTCATTTTGACCAAATTAATTCTCCCTAACCATGAAAGACCACACCATCTCTCAATGTCTTCCCTAAGTTCGGACCAAACCTTTTCTAAATTACATCTATGCATCTTGGACAGATTCTTGCACAGTTATATGCAAGTTATGTGTCCAGATAGGAAATATATGAATCCCTCTAATCTAAATCATACATTTTCTTCATGGTGTCCAAATCAAAACATGGTATAAAGAATTGAAGAGCTTGAGATTTTGCTGTATTCAGTTTATAATATGAGATATTGCCAAATTCTTGCAGAATAGACATCAGTGAAGGTAATGCAGTAAGAGGATTTTTTTAAAGAAAGTATGATGCCATCTGCAAATAGACCAATTGTATGTTCTTTATTTCTTACAGAGATTCCCTCAATGTGAACTTATTGACGTATCAATTCAGCCAAAGG